GCAGTGTCATACTCTCAGAAAAATTGACAGTTACATGTACATGTATGTATGTGCCCGATTAAACTTTTGGCCAAAGAATATATACAACACAAACATACTGCCTTTCAAATAAGAACATCAAAATGTGACTCTTTATTGCAGGTTTTGACAGATTGTGTAGATTTTTTGTGCAGACCTAATGGACACAAAGGCAGTTCCACCATTATGGACATTACATTTGGACACAGGTTTTAAACTTTGGTAATCAATTTGACTGACTAAGAAAACCACTTGAATGTTTGCTTGTGGTAACATATAATGTTTTTTTTATCAAGCAGTATGCACATTAATAAAATCATAATTAGTTATTGAGCTATTAACATCATTAACAAGCGTCATGGACATTACGCTAAAAGGACAAAGGTATTGTGACCAACATAATCATTACAAAAACTCTGTGAAGTTAGAATCTGTTTTTGTTTCAAATGGGTTTAATACTGTGAGGTAGGAAACAGTCAAAAAGCAAAACAATAACACTAATTAGAATGGCTCTTCACTCTCTCATTATAAGTCTTAAATAGGCATCATGGACATTACATTTGTTTGTCCTGGACATTATGCGTCCAAATTTTCCACACTCAACCCACAAATAAATGAAGCAAAATGTGCCTGGAAAACAAGTAATACAGCCATGGACCCACAGTATCATTAGCAATCAAATTGCAGCATATTTGGGGAAAATTGTTCGTTACTTGTGATTTGCTGAGAAAATTAACTCGGTCAATTTTTGTACCTACATGTAGGAAGCCTACTTGTAAATGTACAATGTACATGTACATGTATGTGCATTTAACCTTTGAAGCAGAACTTGTCTTGGAATGTGAAACTGAAGAACAACACAAAAGAGGTACACGCACACTGTACACGCACACTGTACACGCACACTGGACATGCACACTGTACATGCACACTGTACACGCACACTCTACACGCACACTGTACATGTAGGTTTTTATTTCAAACGATCCAGAACTAGGACAAATTCAGAATTAAGAAAACAAAGTTCTGTATATATATAATCTCTCTTGAAAAAAGAACAAAACTAGCCCTTTATGCAAACCACACATGTAAATATATGGCCAAAAAAGGACAGTCCCTGTCCACCTTACCCTGTGCACGGTTGCACATGTAAAAATATTGCATGCAAATTGGCATTTTGAGCGGCCATCATGCATGCATGCCCAGTGGAGACCATTTGGAAAAGACATGTAGTGCTGCACTTTTAAAGAGTACATGTAGCCTAATTTATGCAACACAAAAGCTATCCTTTTCATGCAACAATCAATGAAAATAAGAATGTTCCCTGGGGATTAAGAAACTAGTTAGCTGCATTGCGTCATGAGGGAGTGTAGGTACCATACCATGTGTTTGTACATAAAATGGTCCAAGCATATATACATGTACGTCACAAGTACTTGTCATGATTAAATTTGGGGGAAAAGTAAAAGTTAAGAAAATTGCTTTCTTCGAGTCCAGAGGGTGCCGAGGCCAAAGCCAAGGCCAAGTCATTGGGTAGTGAGGCCAAGGCTAAGGCTTTGAAAAACCGGTCTCAAGGCCAGCCGTGAGGTAAAGGCCGGCCTCGAGACCAACACTGATAAATAGACTACTCTGTTGTCTCAACAGGGAGTTTTGAAGCTGTAAGCATGATATGTAATGTCCAAATTGCATAAGGGTCCACTGCACTCAATACGGCAGACTTTGTACCAGTCAATTCAAGTCCTCATAAAAGGTCACAAAGCTCCTTGTCTCTGTTAACGATGATGCTGAGCTTGAAGCCCAGGATGCCCCCTAATTCTCACGTCCAACATCCTTCAAATTATCCCCAGCACCATCAATAGCCGCATCCATTTTCCTTTTATGTTTGACAGCTGAAGAGAAATCCACCTTATTTTATCCAGGGGAAGCTGTAACATCCTCCTTGGAGGGTGCCATCCAACAGGCCTTCACTTGCGTGACTGTCTTTTTCTCGCAAACACAAACTCCTGCATCTATCTCAAAAAGAAGTGTTGTAACATGTGTGCATACTTCACCGAATCCAGCTTTGCAGTCACAGTGGGTACAACATATCTGGCCATCTGACCCAGGGTGGCAATGCCTTCTCTGCTATGGACTGTGAATACATCACCTATAATAACCACAAATGAATCAATGATTATTTCAAAGAAGGCTAAAATTTCACATACTAACTTTGAAACATACAGTGGCCCTGGAGGTATTTACTCACAAGAAACAGTATTTGTTTAATTTGTTATTAGCTTTCTCCTGTAACAGGATCTCCACACTGGCTATTTTTCTACCAAACTACACGTATACATTTCAATACACAGAGGTACTGGACAAAAATTGGTACATGTAAACATGGAGGAAGGACACGGGAGGAGTTTGAACTGCCCGAGCTATAACATCCGGCCAAATACCGCTTTCTGGCATACCCGGTATGTCCATAGCCAGAGCGCAGCGCACGCCTGCTACTCACCACCTGTTTTGCAACCATAAGCCCTCTTTGTACCCTATGATCGTCGCCGCAATTTTTCACTAGTAATCTGCATCCCTAAAACGTTGTGTACTGCAGTACAGGAAGTTGAATATTCATACCATCGTTGGTACTTGATATGATCCGACAACAACATCAAATTTAGTGCTTGCGTAGTTGCTTTTACTAGGCTGTGTACCCGAAGTGTTCATGTGCAGTTGTTGCCCTTATCGAACGCTTTCTTCTGGACTTCTTTTAGGAATAAATAGCCAAGCTGTTTGTAAGATTTTGTGTTTTGTTTGAATAATTTTTATTATGGCATTTGTCCAAAGGCATATTTTATGAGATCTCACGATCACTCCCTGTGATGAAATAGCGCATTTTGTCCCTAATGAACTGAGCTTTCCAGAAGTAGTGAAGATTTTGATGGCCAGTCTTAGCCAAATTCGTACCTAGTTTTTGAACACTGATGTATTGGACGGAGA